CCCGCTCAGCAGCGGAGCGGTCCGGGGTCCGGCGGGTTTGGTGACACCAAAGGACCCTGCGGGTTCCACTCTGTGCCTCAGTTTCCCCACTCCTGCTTTCGTGTCACCCGTGGGCTCCATGAGGCTGAGCTCGCTCCGTCACACCACAGCCCAGCTACAGGTAAAACGAGAGCGGGAGACTTGGGAAAACCAACGCTGGGTGTCCCTTGGAGACCGTCCCCCCTCCCCAAACCCTGGGCCCCCCATGCTGCATCAGCAGCTCTGAGCTGGTGGCACGTTTGGGGTTCCTCTGCCCCCAGGTTGGGAAGCCTTGCTCCCACGGCTGTGAGACGGAGAGGCCTCGGCTCGGCGCCGACGGATTAGCAAAGAGCTGGGGAATCGCTTCTGTGGGTTTGCTCCCACAAACGGGAATAACGCCCTTTCCCAGGAGCCACCCTGCCTGCCTCCAGGCCTCCGGACTCCTCCGGTGAGGGATTTTAAATGAGCTTTTGGTTGCCTTTTAGCCAAGGTCTGGGGCGAAGAGGAGATGGGCTGGAGGGGGGGACCTGCAGGGAATGGTTTTCCCTTGCTTCCGAGCAGGAGAAGGGAATGAACGCCCAGCTGAGCCCCTGCTGGTGCCAGCTCAGCCCAAGAATACCTGGAAATGGTTGGGTTTGAAAGGGGGGCGGGGAATTATCTTCAATTTACGGGCTTGTTTAGGAAGGGAAATGGAGAAATGTTCCCCCCCCCCCCAACACACGGGGGATCAGAAACCTCGGTAAATGAGCAAGAGACTTTTCAAATTTGGTGTAATTGTGTGGCTATGGGGGGCTTCTTCTCCAAGAAGGTGTATGGGGGGGTTGGCTGGGAAGGGAGGAAGAAATCGGGGGGCTCCCCGTGCCCCCACTGACCCATTGAGCTTCTCTTTGCAAACCAGGGCGCTGCCAAGGTGACCGAAACCCCCCAGCCAGGCTCACCGGCAGGAGCGATCCGGCACGGCTGCCTCGCCGGGAGATGCTCCCGCCGCCTCTCCCAGGTATCGTGGGGACCGGAGCAAAGCCCACAGGGGGAAAGCACGGCCCCACATGCGTGTGCGGTGCGTGTAGTCCGTGCGTGGCGTGGCCTTTCCTCGCCGGGCTGCTGCCTGCGTGATGTTACGCGTGAATATCTGTACGAAAGCATCGGTGCTTTAGAAACACCCGGCGTGAGCCATGTGCGAAACGCCCGGCTCGCTGGTGGGTGTGAGCATGGCGGGTGTGAGCGTGGCGGGTGTGAGCATGTGCACGGCGTGTTGGTGTGATCGTGTTGGTGTGAGCGTGAGCACGGCGTGTTGGTGTGAGCGTGTTGGTGTGAGCGTGGCGCGTGTGAGCGTGAGCACAGCGTGTTGGTGTGAGCGTGGCGTGTGTGAGCGTGGCGTGTTGGTGTGAGCATGAGCACGGCGTGTTGGTGTGAGCATGGCGTGTGTGAGCACGGCGTGTTGGTGTGAGCGTGGCGCGTGTGAGCGTGGTGTGTTGGTGTGAGCATGAGCACGGCATGTTGGTGTGAGCGTGTTGGTGTGAGCACGGCGTGTTGGTGTGAGCATGGTGTGTGTGAGCACGGCGTGTTGGTGTGAGCGTGGCGCGTGTGAGCGTGGTGTGTTGGTGTGAGCATGAGCACGGCATGTTGGTGTGAGCGTGTTGGTGTGAGCACGGCGTGTTGGTGTGAGCATGGTGTGTGTGAGCACGGCGTGTTGGTGTGAGCGTGGCGCGTGTGAGCGTGGTGTGTTGGTGTGAGCATGAGCACGGCATGTTGGTGTGAGCGTGTTGGTGTGAGCACGGCGTGTTGGTGTGAGCATGGTGTGTGTGAGCACGGCGTGTTGGTGTGAGCGTGGCGCGTGTGAGCGTGGTGTGTTGGTGTGAGCATGAGCACGGCATGTTGGTGTGAGCGTGTTGGTGTGAGCACGGCGTGTTGGTGTGAGCATGGTGTGTGTGAGCACGGCGTGTTGGTGTGAGCGTGGCGCGTGTGAGCGTGGTGTGTTGGTGTGAGCATGAGCACGGCATGTTGGTGTGAGCGTGTTGGTGTGAGCACGGCGTGTTGGTGTGAGCATGGTGTGTGTGAGCACGGCGTGTTGGTGTGAGCGTGGCGCGTGTGAGCGTGGTGTGTTGGTGTGAGCATGAGCACGGCATGTTGGTGTGAGCGTGTTGGTGTGAGCACGGCGTGTTGGTGTGAGCATGGTGTGTGTGAGCACGGCGTGTTGGTGTGAGCGTGGCGCGTGTGAGCGTGGTGTGTTGGTGTGAGCATGAGCACGGCATGTTGGTGTGAGCGTGTTGGTGTGAGCACGGCGTGTTGGTGTGAGCATGGTGTGTGTGAGCACGGCGTGTTGGTGTGAGCGTGGCGCGTG